AACAGAAGTGCGACAAAGGACGAAGTGGGACGGGATGGGACGAGGCCGGCGCGTCAGCGATAGGGTGAGGTGGGAGGAGAAGGGCGAAGCGCGACAGACGGCGACGTGTCACAAGAGAACCAAATGAAACGGCACAAAGACTACGCAGAGACAAGACAAGCCGAGAAACACAAAGCAGAATAGATTAGACGAGTCGGCCGCGGCATCTATTTCGATGAGGGCGGTGAAGGCGAAGCGAATCTAAGTGGTGGTGCTGCACGAAGCAAAGTTCCACAATTCACAAAAACAAGGCAGATCGCCCGTGAAGCAGAGCGTGCCAAGAGGGCAGGAGCCGCATTGTGAAGTAGTGAAGTAACCGAGGAAAAGCAGGGCAGAGCCAAGTGGAGGGGCACAGCCAGTGGGAGGCTGCCTGCTCACGTCGGGGTATCTTCTCGATGTTGGTGTATCTGATGTTCCGATGGAACGGTTCCTGGAACCAGCGACGTTTCAGTGTCGCACTGCAGCGAAACGCGATCGGGTTCGATCCGTTAAATGCATGTGATTACAGTTTGAGGACGAGCAAGTCATCGAGAAGTTCGCGCAATAACGATTCCTAAAAAATAATAGATTCCAAAATCGAAACAGAAATTCTTACTGAAATCGAATCAAAAGAAAAGAAAATATTCCCAAAGGAATTGTTCTCAAATGAGGACGTTCTCGTACCCAATGGTACCTTTCTTTTGTGATAGCAGAAAACAGATGTGTCCAACAACAGCTTCAATATAGAATCCCAAGAAAATGTCGATATTCAAAGGAATCAAATTTTCTTGTTATAAGACAAAACGTATCCAAAGATTGTATCGTTACCGGAATCGAACGTTTAAAATATCTCTTCAGAAATTTTTTCCTGTAGTAACTAAGGTCAAGATGATTGTTATGGCAAACTGTTGAAACTATTGAAGGGTGATCAAAAACAAAGAGATTCCTATGTTTAAAATATTTAAGTCAATAGATTGTAAAACGTTGAAGAACAATTACTTCTACTACAGCACTTCGAAAAAATATGTGCATAATACTCCCTGAATTACGCCCAGACTTACTCTAAGATTAATTTATTTTACATCTAAAATACTCCGGAAAAATATAAAAAACAATATATTGTACTCATACTTCATCGCACAACAGTGTATAATTTTAATACTAAAAGGTACTAATTTAATTACATTCCGCCCTCGTGGATTCGGTGGCAGCAAGAGTCGAACGCGAAGAGTCGAGTGCGGAATGAAGCCTGCAGAGGCGGAAGGGCCGTCCGCGCGGCGGACAGGTGCAGCCGAATGGCGCGCAGTGGGGCGGAATGCAGCGGCACAGCGCCAGAGAGCGGCGGCGCTGCCAGAGTCGGGGGCTCGCGAGTTGCGAGCGGCTGAGTGGGCGGCGGATTACTGTTTGCGGACGGTTAAGTGGCGCACTCTCGGGAAACAACTGCAAGTCGAGGCACCGGACGGCGGAGGCTTATCACGGCAAGTGTTGCCACTGAGTAAACACTTCCAGGAGCCAGCATTAACTCCTTGCTTCTTCATAAACCGGAGAAAAAAAAGTATACTCGAACGAAAAAAGGACATGAATCGCAATATTATTGTAAATGAATGATTCGTGTATCGCAATGTTTTGAACAATCACTGAAGACTGCAGAAAAAAACGTATTCGCTCAATATTTACATTCAATATTCGTGTTTTGACGAAGTAATCAACCTTCAACTTTCCATGGAACTATGAAAACTATGAAACATTAACATTACACTGAAATATATGTAAAAAGTGATTTTGTCATTGCATGAATCCGGGAGGAAAACTTTTATCACCTTTTACAATGTAAATAAATGATTTCATTTTCAAAACATATTAACTTTCGTGACTATATTACTTAATTATTATTTCAGAACCAAATGCCATTGTAATATCATTAGATTAAAGTGTCTGAAAATTATTCATTTCCAATGCTTAAATCTTACAACGAATTCCACAAAACTTGGTTTTATAATAATATATTAATAATGGAAAGGGTTCAGTCATCTGTCTTTTACTTGAAAAAGTAATTCAAGTTCGTAAAAGATATGAAGAAAAATTCTACAGGATCGTTTTATTCTCATTCTGCGAATGTACGGAAAATAAATCTCTCCACGCTAGATTTAAAGGATAACTTTGAATACGTTAAGTCTGATATGTATTGAAATGTTGCGGGAGAAGAGAACAATTCACTCCAAAAAGGTACAAGATCGGATAAAAAATACAAACTCATCATAAAATTATAAACGTATACATTTGCAAATGGATGGTTATAAAATAGTTCATACGTGACGCAACAAACCTACATGTTTTATACTCATAAATATTGAGGTATTTTATAGCTTATAGCTTTAAGGCATTCTGTCGCGCTTTGAAATAACACACAATAATTGTCCGTTGAAATAATTACATGTAATATGCGAGCCAGTATTAAAACGATAATATTATTCCATAATGCTTCTCGCAGACATATTTCCTCTTCATTATTTTACAGGTTTTTGTACAATGAAATATCGACAACCAAAGGCATAATTTAATGAACAATTCAATTTTAAAAACTTATTTACATTAGCTAGTTTTACCTTTATTAAATAAAAGGTGAA